GGACTCCAAATGGCTATTGAACAGAAACTCTCTACTGATCGTATTCACTATCCCATGACCTCGGTAAAAATGAGGTCATTTTATATTGAAGCTGGGAGGATGGACTCGCCTAATAATGTTCTCTTTACATCGCATACACCTAAACGTCTCGTTGTTGCTTTGGTTACAGCCGATGCGTATAACGGTGCTGTTAACAAGACACCTTTCAATTTTAAGCCATTCAATCTCAAGAATATTTATCTGACAATGAACAACCGTATAATTCCGACGAGACCATACAATTTGGATTGGGAGTCGTCTTATGCTACAGCTTACGTTGATATGCTAGAAGGACTTGGAATTGCCCACTCGGATACGTCTAATGGAATTACCCCGGAAATGTATAAGAATGGATTCGCCTTTTTTGTGTTTGATATCTCACCTACTGTACACTCTAGCGACTTGTTTGATGTAATAAGACAGGGAAATGTTGCTCTAAAACTAGAGTTCAGCCAACGTGTACATAACGATGGAATTTATGTTATTGTTTATGCTGAATATGATTCTATACTATCTATTGATCAAAACCGCACCCCATATCTTGATACTAGTTTGTAAGAAGTTTGTTAAAATAAAAAATTTATTATATCAATCTTTAAATAGAAATCTTATATACAATGATAGAAATCTTATATACAACAATAGAAATCTAAATTACACAAAATAATATTAACATACACTACTAATTTACAATGAATACCCATAGGGTAGAGTGGAATAGTCGGGTAAAAACCTCAACTTATCCATTACGACACCTGTTCTCTTTGTCAGATCCGCGGTCTGAATGTGTCCCAAGGTCCGCTTGAAGATTGTGCTTTGAGCCGACAAAACACTTGTGGAATTGTTCTCCACATAATCCCGAACAATCCTCTCCATACCATCATAGTTAACAGCAGTGGCTGCTGTATGGTCCAAAGTCTAGAAAATATCGAGGATGAATGACTAAAAATCTTTCACATACCACTCCTTTGGCTTTGGTGACCACCCGTACTTGGCCATTATCATTTTCCAGCAAATAGCTGTAGACTTTGGCTGCTGGGGAGACGAATTTCGTCATCCTCCAGCCTTCTGGGATTTCCGAGGTCAGCATACCTAACCACTCTCCACGCATCTCGGCGACCGGGTCAGGCTGGCCTTTTTCCCGCAGATAGATTAAACTATCAGTGTCTGAATATTCATATATGAAACATTTGACAAAATCTGCATACCTGTATAGCATAGATTGTCGCCAATCTTTTCCATTGCCTTATACAGCAAAAGGCGAGCGTGCGCAGTCGTGTATGCTGCGATGGCTACATTGGTGTAACCTGCGGGCTTGAGGTAACTTTCCTCAGGCCGCGACGACACGAAGCATGTCTCATCAACAATTTTGAACCCTGTGAGCTCAATCGCAGGGTTCGTGATGATTCTGCCAATCAATGGATCATTGACTGATAAAATTTGGGTTTCAATTTTATCAGGTCTTTGACCCATCTTACCCCAGACACTGAAAAGCAAAAAATGTAAAGACAACAAGTGCCGACCTACTAACCTGTTCAACTGGAGTTTGGCTATACTCCTCATAGCCGGGTTCTTCTTTATATTCGCCGCGTCTAATTTCACGCCGACGAATTTCTCATGATCACTGAGGAAAACAGCCTGAATTTGGATAATATATAACTGAACAATAAACACCATTACCTTTTCTTCATCAGTCATATTGGCTTTTGGCCATCCCGAGGCCTCTTGTTTAATTTTAATGTAGCTCTTCACAAAATCTTTGAAGAGTCCTCCCATGTTCCATTCGGTCCAATGCCACACTTCGTACACCCGCAAGACTTTATAGCCTCTTTCAATAGCACAAGCCAACTCTACATGAGTGACTGTGGTATGAATGGCTCGCTTGGCGGGGTCATCCAAATGTGCGCATGGCACATTTTTAGCCTTTGCCGCACAACTGCGGCAATTTGTAAAGATGAGCTTGTTATTGAGTCTGGTCCCAATAACAGGGAATCTAATGTTCGATGGTGGCAAGACATCGCATTTGATTAAGCCCTTGTAAGGGCACCCAGACTCAAAACTCATAAAGTCATCAGTGATGACATCAGGCGTACCAACAGGGTACTCGGCATCAAATGCCGTCACATACGGGTATAGTGAACAAAAGTCCACATACTCTAGCGTATGACTTTCAGAGGCTTCAGCCAGAAGCTTGAACGTCTGGGTACGGCCGCCCAGGAATGCATCACGAGGTGTCAGCCGTGTGACAACCTCGGTCTTCTTTATGAAATCAGCCAACTCGGGGCTATTCCTGATTTCATT